TGGCTTTAGACAGAGTCAACCGAATCATACTGTGATGGCGTTAGAGGACAATTGGTCGCTTTTAAGGACAAGCAGGTTAGCCCAGATTCCCATGGTTTCCAGAAATCTGACCTACACCAAAAGGTGGCATTGCCCTACCTATAGGAGAAGTTTGGTTTCATTGGTAATAATATTGGTTTGGTTATAGAGAAACCTCTCCTTGTCTTTTATAGAAAAAAAGAGGCAAAAACTTTACCTTCGATTTTCTCAAAACAGCATTTTACTGGATAGCCCCCTTCTGCTTAAAAGCGACAAATTCTTGGACAATGTTAGAACTCTATACACCTTCAGCAGGAGCTTCATGAGACAAAAAGAGGACAACGCAAACTGGTTCGAAAAAACATCAGGAGTACGCTAGGGATGCGTTTTAACCCCCCCCCCCCCCCACACCCCCCCCCCCCCCCACTAAAAAGTCATAATCTATATATGGACGAAATAAAGCTGGAAATAAACCTAAGCCCAGAAATCTAAAGAAAGGTACGACACCCTGCCTGCATTTTAAAGAAAAACAAAAACTAAAATGGGTTGGCCAGTTGTTACGAATGTGACCTAGTCAGCCACCTCGAGGGTCTTTAGTTTTAGTAGAGGTTTTACGACGCTCATATGAGCGCCAAGTGTTGGATGTCAATAAAGAAGTCCTCACTGGGAATCAGGCTGCTCTGTTCACCACTCTAGCTTCAACAGTATAAAGTCTGCTTCGACTATCAAGGCACCACGGAAATAGCGGGTCACAAGAGTGTGACAAACATACAAAACAAGTAGAGGGAAAATGACGATAGTAAGGATTAGGAAAGAAAAATCTGCAGTTCTCAGTTGCAGTTCAGGCACAGTTGTGAGCATGACATTGATGAAGCAGCCCATTTACAATTACAATTCTACTGTAAATAAGAACGTGGTTAATGTCCCCCCTTTGGGAATGGCCGAAAGACACTTCAGTCAGTGGCACCGCCCCGGGGGGTAGCCTCGAGGGACTGTAACAAATGGTTGACCAAGATTACAAAATAAAAAGAGATAGGCCACGCAAAAGGTTGGCTGAAAGAGTCAATGAAATCCTGAGACTCTAGATCCAATACTTCTCAGATGAAAGAGATGCACAGTTAGCCTTTCATAGAAAACTACATCTCCCCTTGACACTCAAAGCCAATAGAGGATGAACAGAGTACATTATTGCAAGTAAAGCAACTCATAAAGCTGCAATGCATGGGGCGTGGAGCAAGCAGCACTCAGGACACGTGAATCAACAGAATAAAAGACAAATGAAGAGGAGGTAGATCAAGAGCAACCTACTCAGAGAACTTGAATTTAATGATTAGGAAAAAGCAGGATTGTAATATTTTTTGGGGTGGGTTTTTTTTCCGAGAGTTTATGCGTACGAGGGCGAATAACATACCCGCTGTCCTCTATTAGGTATTGAGTGATGTCATTGTAACCTCCTATTGTTGTTAACTAAATTATGTACTTGTCATCATAAAGGAAAGGTAACTACCGGGAATGAAAAAGAGTTTTAATGTATCTCTTTCTGTCTTCTTATTGAGAAACGTTAGCACCAATGGCCACGCATCCTGCTGATGTTCTTAACAGCCATGCCTTTGATGGAATGAATTCAAGATTTTTTACAGGCATCTGCGGTGTAACGGTTAGACTTTCGTTGCTTCATGCAGGGAACGAGTTTGATTCTTGGGGTAAAAAGTAAAGTTGTTCCCGCATCCGATCCGAACATTGGGGATTGCCTTGTTAGTGAGACAACTTCCTGGGCTTCGGCATATTGTGGTAGGGTTGCCAATTCTTTTCCACGCCGCCTCTACTTCCCCAACTATTCTTGGGGTAGGGAGGTATTATGTATTTTTTTAAATTAATGATTTTTTTCTTCTTATTGTTTGATCGGTCATCTCCTTGCGCCTGCTACGATAGTATATCCCTTTCAGACCGCTTTGCCCTGACATGCAAATCTTGTGTTGTCAGGGGTGTGAATACTTACAATAATTAGTACAAGATTCTATGTGCTCCGAGAGCCTCAGAAGCCACTTTGAGGTTTTTGCTGGCAGCTGGAAACATGGGAGATTTTAACAGCATGGCTAATCTCATGACCAGAGTGGCACCCATTCTGGCCTGAGTTTATTCAACATGCTAAATGGGGGCTATGGACATAGAGCTACATTTATTTTTTTAAATTGTGATGTTTCAAGCACATTGCTTTTTCTAAGGTCTGTATTTTGATCGCAGGGCACCGTTAAAGTCAGTCAAAAAAGGGAGGACAAAGAGAAAGTAGGTCTGACAATATCGCAGAGTGGATTTGTTTGTCGAAAAGAGAACTCTACGACGATCGACAGACAGAGGGAAGTGGAGAACAATCTCGACACACCTTCTGATTTTAGTTTACCCCACAGCCACGCAAGTCAGGGAAGAGTGAGTCAGTGAGTGAGTGGGTGTTTTATAATTCAGATCTTCTGCGATCTTCTGAAAACTCTAAATGCGGTTTGGTTTGGTCAAGATTAATAATAATAATAATAGATAGCATTTGTATAGCGCATATCCCCGCTCAACAGCAGGCTCTATGCGCTTTACACTATATTATTACCCCAGCAGACCATAGAACAATCCGAAACATTCTCAGCTTCTCGGGAAGCATACAGTGCAAGCAGCCGATTAAGCGCTCAAACACTAACAAACTGACAAGATCTTTCACTGTCTATAGCCGGGTACCCATTCCCACCTGGGTGAAGTGAGGAAAATTCGTGTAAAGTGCCTTTCTCAAGGACACAACGTCGGGTCCTTGACAAGATTCGAACCCACGACCTTACGGTTGCGAGTCCGAGAGCCTAACCACTAGGCCACCGACGCCACAAAAAAGATTACTGTCGAGGCCACGAGCAAATGTATTTACCCGAAACACCCAATACAAACTATCAGTTCTGTGTATAAGGAGTTCAGGAGCTCATCAGAGATTGAGTTAAACACGAGGTCTGGAATTAGTTTCCCCCGAAGTTTGGATTACCTTTCTCGTTTTCTGCACTCTGAGATCCTAGGGTAGGTAAGATTGAGCAAATGGGCTTCTCGGACATGTGCTCTGTGTGGAAGTTTCGCGAGCTAAAGATTCCTTGGCTGCTCTAAAATGGAAAAGAGTAGGCGTTCCAGGCCGGCGTTCGAGAAAAATCCAAAAGCGTTTCTTTCCCAAAAACTGGAGACACTCTAATTTGTGTAAATATTATGACTACCTTCTGACAACAGCACGTGGCGTTCTGACTGGCGGCAAGGGATGATTCTATGTTCCGCATAAGATATTTCACGACACGGTAGAATCAGGCGCTCGTAAATTTTGTTGGCATGTTGAGGTATCAGAATCATCTCAAAGATTGTTCATTTCTCTTTGTTTCAATGCAAAAACTCGTTTTTATCTTGAATACAATTCGAGATATTTGCGAATGAAGTAGGTGGGGGTCGCCTTGTTTAAGAGGTAAAATCAGCGCAGGAGTGGTCACCAAATGTGAGATGTGCTGACAAAATGAGTTACTTCTAACGATCCAAGAATGGAGATATCGGCTGAAAATCGACACTGGGGTCAGATTTATAAATTTTCAATTGATGCTATTTTGTTCAAGTTTACTGTGTCTTTTACTATTCCATGCTCATAAACTGTACAAACTTCAGCTATCAAGTTGATGTGTCAATTTCCATAAGGCTGAAATCCGAGAAGTAACTCATTTTGTCAGCACACCTCACAAATGATATTCAATTCCACAGCTTGAGACTTCAAGGAAACCAAAACGTTATATTTTCTGTGCCTTTAATCAACGTTTTTTTTTTGGGGGGGGGGGGAGGGGGGGAGGTAAAAGGTTCACTGAGGGGCGGTGGGCATCACAAGCCTTTTTTGTTGTTTCATTACTTGAAAAAACAAAGTATGTAGATACATGTGGCCGGTACGAATTTTTGTACCTTTATAGCCCCTTCCAGATGGTAAAAGTGATAGCTTGTTATAAAAATAATAATATTTCACCCCCCGGGGTAGTGCCACTGACTGTAGTGTCTTTAGGCCATTCCCAAAGGGGGGGGGGGACATTTCTCGTTCAAGCATATTAGAATTGTAAATGTGCTGACTCATGTCACGCTCAGAACTGTGCCTGATCTACAACAGGGAACTGCTGCTTTCTCTGTCCTGATCTTACTATTGTCATTTTTCCTCTACTTCTTTAGTATGTTTGTCACTCTATTGTGACCCGGGGTGTCTTGATAGTCGAAGCAGACCTTGTGCAGTTGAAGCTAGAGAGGAGAGCAGTCTAAGTCTGATTCCCTGTAAAGACTTTTCTGTTGACACTCACCCCTTGGCACTCATATGACCTTATGCAGTTGCGAGCGCCGTAAAACCTTCTACTTTAAAATAAATTGTGTTGGAGCGGGCGTAAAAACATTTACAATCACAGCTATACACCGGAGGATCAGAAGTTTTCCTTACCAAGTACCGGTACGTTTGAATTTTTTGGGGGAAATATTGTGATGCAATCCACGTAATTCACCAGTAGATGTTTAATAGGAAAGAAGGAGCAAACCCCACCAGAGCACCCGCCAACCACCGAAGAAGAAGAAGAAGAAGAAGAAGAAGAAGAAGAAGAAGAAGAAGAAGAAGAAGAAGAAGAAGAAGAAGAAGAAGAAGAAGAAGAAGAAGAAGAAGAAGAAGAAGAAGAAGAAGAAGAAGAAGAAGAAGAAGAAGAAGAAAAAGAAGAAGAAGAAGAAGAAGAAGAAGAAGAAGAAGAAGAAGAAGAAGAAGAAGAAGAAGAAGAAAAAGAAGAAGAAGGAGAAGAAGGAGAAGACAACCACATCACCAACAACAACAAAACAACACAACAACAACAACAACAAAACTGCAACAACAGCAACAATATCAACATAAAAAACAACAAAACAAACAATAAGCGTTTACCAATAATTTGACGACACGGTAAATCAAACCAACACTAACATTTTGATAAATTACCCTGTATTTTATTGTTTCCAAACTCTACTGAATCCTGGAGGACACCGTTTTAAGCACTACGTCCGCGGGGTTTCCTCTGAAAGTTTTCATAATTTTTTTTACAATCACAAAACTATAGATAATTATGAAGAAGGTTAGACTCAATGAATCGAGACCATAATATTTTTTATTGAGTTTCTAATATCAGTGACTGTGTGTGTGTGTGTGTGTGTGTAAGTGTGTGTGTGTTTGAGTGTGTGTGTGTGTGTGTGTGTTTGCGGCGACTTCACGTGCGTGCGTAGGGTTGTATGCAAGTTGTTCTCACACTCAGAGCCGATCTGCAGCGCGTGAAGGTCACTCACAAGTTCACTCACTGAGGCCCAAGAGTGGTTGAGCCAGCGGCAGACTCGAATTCCTGGTTTTGACAACGTTCAACCATGCTCGTCTTACACTCCTCAATGATTGTGTCGCAACCGTTTGCATCTGGGAAACAACGGAGAGTAGTCTTTTGAGCCTCTTTTCACACAATATTTGCACAAAAATACCGAGTTCCTTTCTGTATCTTTATCGCTCCCCCCCCCCTCTCTCTCTCTCTCTCTCTCTTCCGTCTCTCTCTCTCTTTCTCTCTCTCTCTCTTCCGTCTCTCTCTCTCTCTCTCTCTCTCTCACTCAATCTGTTTCTCTCTGTTTCTCTCTGTTTCTCTCTCTCTCTTTCTCTCTGTTTCTCTCTCTCTCTCTCTCTCTCTCTCTCTCTCTCTCTCTCATACACACTCTCATACTCACATATACACACGCTTTTCTTCTAACCATCAAATCACCCCCCCCCCCCACCTTCCCGCTCCTCTTTTATGTCAGGGATGAAAACAATATTAAATTAGTCTCATCTTTTCTTTCCCAGTACTTACCTTCACAGTTCTTGTGCTGCATCTGGCACTGGCTGGTAATGTTACCAATGTCACAGTTCTGATCAGCGAAGACAGCTGCTACGAGAGCGAGACTGAGGATAATGATAGCAACCTGGGGAAGAGAAATGAGGGAATTGGGGGGGGCAGTTTGGTTTGAGTACGAGTACGGTGAACGACATTGACACCATGACGATCACAATTGGTTGCTTTTAAGCACTAGGGGGCTATCCCGAAAAAATAATGCTGTTTTGAGAAAATCGAAGATAAAGTTTTTGGGCTCTTTTTCAGTTTCTTTAAAAGACAAGGCGAAATCTGGGTTCGCCCGCTTGTCCTTAAAAGAGACCACTTTTTGTAGAGGAAAAGCGTGATAGACAGAGAAATAATTCTAAAAACAGAGGAAAAGAAAAGACGCCATAAAACTTTCCAATCACCCAATGCTAATGTGGACAGTGGTGATTATGTTAAATGTATATGCACTTTTTAATTTTGGAATGAAAAACGTAGAACAGTATAAGATACCAAAAATAATATTAGAAATACATCTATATAATATGATATTATAATATAATATAAAACATGTGTGTGTGTGTGTGTGTGTGTGTGTGTGTGTGTGTGTGTGTGTGTGTGTGTGTGCGTGCGTGTGTGCAGGCCTGTGTATGTGCATGTGTGTGTGTGTTTGTCTGTCTCTGGGGTACACCACATTATATGATGCATGTACATAACATATGCAGGGGGAAAACGATAGTAGTCACAAACTTTGAAATTATGAGGGTGCCAGTTTAAAAAACTTGTTAACTCACAACTTCATATTTGTTCGACTGGGGATTTGTTGTTAAGTGTTGTAGAATGGGAAATCTAACAACAATAATTAACCAACAATTGAACAGAAATACAGTTATGAGTCAACAAGCATTCAAAGTTGGTACATTCACAATTTTCAGTTTATGACTAACGTCGTTTTTCCCCTGAAGACCTTCATATTTTTTCAAAGATTTTTCTCATACTGTGGTAGAAACAAACGTGCTGATATGCTCACAGACATTATGAATATTAAGTCATCTGCCTCTTTGGTATAACGACTGAGCTCATTACCAATGTGCGCCAGAGAGTTGAATTCGATTACAAAGTGGGGAAATTTCTTCATCTGTTATTATATGTATTAAAAAACCCCCACCAAATATCTTGATCTGCTTAGATGCTGTATCTCACTCGGCTTTTTCATTTTCTATTTTGTTGTTGTTGGTGTTGTTGTTGTTGTTGTTGTTGCTGTTGTTGTTGCTGTTGTTGTTGCTGTCGTCATTATTGTTGTAGTTGTTGTTTTGTGTTTTTTGTGGCTTTCTTGTCCATGTTTTGTGGGAAAGGGAGATTCCTGCTTTACGTTTCAACTTACGTGTTTGGTTGCTATTATTGTGTTTGTTATTGTTGCTGCTCTTGTAAAAAAGTGGGTGGTTGGCGGGTGCTCTGGTGAGGTTTGCTTCTTCTTTCCTATCAAACATTTATCGTCCTTATCTCCCCTTCTTCTTGTTTTGATTGTTACTCTCTTGTAACACCTTTAATATTCTGGTGCTCATATGACCTTATGCAGTTGCGAGCGCCGTAAAACCTATACTAAAACTAAACTACTTTTTAAAAATGTGTAGGTGTTGTTAGCAGAGACAAGTGAATTAGTAGTGGTGGCGGTGTAAATGTTATTGATATTCTTCCGTTATTGTTGTTGTTGGTCTTATTGTTGGTGTTAGTGTTAGTGTTGGTGTTGTTGTTGGTAGTGGTGGTTGTGGTAGTAGTGTTGATGCTGCTGTTGTATTTGCTCTTGTTGTTGGCGTTGTCGCTTTTGTTGATAGCAGTGTTGGTATTGAACAGGGCATGATTTTACTGCTGTTCTCGCTGGATTTTTGCACCTCGTACCTTTTCTTTGTATATTGCTTTCCTCCACTGTTTTTGTTTCTTTTGTTATAACCCTGTGCTATAGAATCCTAAGCTCTGATTTCTTTTGCTGACCCCCCCCCCAAAAAAAAATAAATTAAAAAAAAAAAATTCTAGTTATTCGTTTATTTTCAAAATGAAGATTACTTATCACATTTCTTCTTATTTGTGTGCTCATATTATAGACATCCTCAAGAAAAAATTGGTGGGCCACTGAATTTTGTCCCAGAAATAATAAACACAGCGTTCACTTTGCTTTATAAATGCCTCTACACCCCCACCCCCCTCCATTCCTTAAAAGCAAAAGAAAACATGAAACAACAGGAAAAGTCTCACAAAGTGAATTTCCAAACTGGTTTTACATAATATTCGTAAAGTGAACTTAATACTGTGATCTTTGGCGTTTTGCTTCGACCCCCCGCCCCAACAAAAAAAAAAGAAAAGCAAAATACTAACCCCCCCCCCCCGGAAAAAAATCCCCTGGAATGAGAAAATAGATCAATAGATCTAGATGACCTAATTCACTATGACAAAGCAAAATAAACATAAAGATGTTGTAGTTCTCTCTGCTCTCTGAATAAGTGGAAATATGCCAAAGGGTGAGGCAATCATTCTGAAGAACTAACTAATTTGGTGTCAAAATATAGGCGAAAAACTGAAATAGTGTTCTATGAATAAGTAGAAAAATAAAGGGAAGTGAGATGTCTCTAATTTCTAGAAATATTACCTTCATCTTTTCTGCTGGTGTTGTTGTTTTCACGGGGAGCGTAGGCTCGAAGACTTGGATGACGAGTCGAGAAGACGTAGAAAAGATTTGTGTTGCATCCTCCACCTCTCCCCGAGTTTATATAGCCAATGTTTGAGGGGCCAAATTCAAAATCAATTAAGAACATAAATTAGGAATATTGATTGGCTAAAGACCGATGTGTTGAACGTAATTAGTACATGGTGGCCGCTGCCACGTTTACTGTATGTCTATGTTTTTGGGTGATTTTTTAAACCAACAAGCAGGAAGTATCCTATCCAGTTGAAAGATGGCTGAGGTGTGTCCATAAAATGTACTGCTTTAAACACGCTTTTCCATTTTTTTTAAAGATTTTAAAAACTTCATGTTTTGACATAGTGTTTAAGAGAAACGTAAGTGTTGCACTTTTAGGGAAGACCTGAGATGACATGGAGGCGAGCGGTACAAGCGGAAATTGAAAAAGCAGGGACATCATGGAAACAGATGGAAAAGGATGCGCAGGACAGGCTTCGATGCCAGCATAACGCCACATTTTCGAAAAGGATATTTTATTCCATCTTTTGTTAAAAAAAAGAATTCTTTGTGCGACGTTAGCGCACTATTTCAGTGGATGATTGGCGGGTGTTCTAGCGTGATTTGCTTCTTCTTTCCTATCAAACATCTATCGCCCTTATCTCTCTTTCTTCTTTTTTGTGTACGTTATTCTCTTGTAACACATCTATTCTACTTATATGACCTAATTATATTTCAAGTGCCGTAAAACTTTTACTAAAACAAAAGAACAGCACTATTTCACATGAAAAGCTTCTCCTAAAGAGAGCCATATAAAATATATTTACTTCTTTATACGTCTGATATTTATGTCTATAAATAAATTCCAGTTACTGTATTTTTGAGTCATTATCGGCTCGAAAATCTAAATCATTCAAAAATGGATGCTTCGATCTGGCTCGTTGGACAAATTATTTCAGCGGACAGACGAAGATATTTGAAAAATATTATTATAACGTCCCCACTCTAGATTCGATGCCACGTCTCCTGTGTACATTGGCGACATGTCTACTGCTACACCACATATGTAGCTGACTAATGTCTAAGCACTAATTGTATATTTGAACCAACAGCTAAAACTCAGAATCAAGAAATGAATTCAGTAAATTGGTTGGTAAGAGTATATTAATTATAGGTTTGTAAAAATCAACAAACAAAGCACATAGTCAATAATGTTAACTTTTAATTCGAAGTTTGATGGGGAGTCTGAACAGAAAGCAGTAAGATAAGTACTCTGCCGGCACTAAATATGACCTTATGGTGTTGCAAGTGCCGTAAAACACTTACTAAAACTAAAAGTACTCTCCAGTAAACAAACATAATGTTTCGTTAGAAAAGCCCCCACAAAATTCTAAGTTGTTACATTGCGCTTTTTCAGCATCATAACTTATAGGGAACAGGTATACCTAATACCCATAAGCATTATACATGTAGCTGCCTTAGTTAGCTGTATACAGACGTCTGGAAACATTTGTTCTGTTAACTCTTTACAGACATCTAGATAACCTCAGTTAACTCTGTACTGATGCCTAGATACGTTTGCCTGGCAGCTCTTTTTTTTTCTTTTTTTAGTAGAGGTTTTACAGCGTTTGCAACTGCATAAGGTCAAATGAGCGCTAGAAGATTAGAGGTGTTTCAAGAGAGTAACAAACATATAGAAGAAGAAGGGGAGATAAAGACGATAGATGTTCGACAGGAAAGAAGGAGCAAATCACACCAGAGCACCCGCCAACCACCTACGTGGGCAGCTCTGTATAAACGTCTAGACATACTCAATAACTATTTACGGACGTCAAGACAACGCCAGTTGAGTATTTATGGACGTCGAAGGACAACATCTGTTAAGTCTTTAAAAGGTCTAGATAACCTCTGTTAAGTCTTTAAAAGGTCTAGATAACCTCTGTTAAGTCTTTAAAAGGTCTAGATAACCTCTGTTAAGTCTTTAAAAGGTCTAGATAACCTCAGTTAACTCTTTACTGACATCTAGACGACTTTGCTTGGTTAATCTGCTGGGATCTTGTATCCCTTTGAGCCGGGGTTAGCCCTTACACCAGAGTCCGAAGCCTGCCTCCTAAATTACTTAAATTATGTCGATGGAGGCATAACATACCACCTATATTTGAATAATTTTTAAATATAAAAAAAAGAATGTGGAGGTCTAGATGAAGGCATTTAACTCTGTACGGGTGTCCAGACAAGACAAATGTGAGGCAGCGTGGTGGAATCAGGCTCTCGTCAAAATAATCAAAGTAAAGAAACTTGCATTTTTCCACAGGTTTGTAAATTTTTTTCAAATTTTTGTTTTTAGGCTCAACACCTTTTGTGCCCATTAAAGAACTCATTTCTGTATTGCTTTTTCTGAAAAGCGTTGATTAAGGCACAAAAAATGTAAATTTTCAGCCACCACGGACTCTTAAGCTAAGGAAATAACTAATCTTTGGCGGCCATTTTTTCACTAATTTTACCTCTGAAAACAGGTGACCCCCACCCCCTTCATTCTCAAATATCTTGATTTGTATTCAAGATAAATGTATATTTTTTTCACCCAAATAAAGACAAATGAACAAGCTTTAAGATGATACCAATAACTCTACAAGCCCAAAAATTGACGAGAGCCTGATTCCACCACGCTGTCTCACAAATGTGCTCAGTTAACTATACGACATCTACATGTAGAATAGATTTCTCCGTTAGCTTTACTGATGTATGAAATCAGTAAGTTAATTTCAGCGGACTATTTAAGGGTGTCCAGAGGTGCTGGCTTATACGAGTACCTTGATCATTCTAGCTTGCCCTAGAAAGACGTAGTTAGGATCTCCGTCAACTCTCTACTGACAACTAGAAATAATATGTGAGACAGCGTGGTGAAATCTGGCTCTCGTCAAAATGATTAAATTGAAGAAACTGGCATTATTCTGTCAGTTTGGAATTTTTTTTATCGAATTTTTTTTTTTTTTTTTTTGGCTTAACACCATTGTTGTCCAATTAAGAAGACATTTTAGGGCTGATTTTACTTTTTAAAAACGTTGATTAAAGGCACAAAAAAGTAGGTTTTCAGTTTCCTCGGACATTCAAGCTAAGGAAATAACCAAACTTTGGCAGCCATTTTCTCGCTAATTCTACCTTGAAACCAAACGACCCCATTTTCCTCAATCTCAAATATCTTGACTTTTGTTAAAAAAAGATAGGCATTTTTTCGCCGATAGTAAAACCATAGAACAAGTTTTAAGATGATACCATAACTCCACAAGCCCCAAAATTGACGACCGCCTGATCCCACCACGTCGTGACACATATTATAGTTCCATAACCTATTCACGGACATCTATGTGGGTGGTTTGCGGGTACTTTGGTGTGGTTTGCTCTTTCTTTCCAATCAAAGATCTATCGTCCTTAATTCTCCTCCTTCTTTTTTGTGTTTGTTGCTCTCTTGTAACACCTCTGATCTTCCTCACTTAAATGACCCAAGTGAAGTGCCGTAAAACTCTTATCAAAACAAACGGACATCTACATTTATATTGAACACCGCAGGAGAGTTGGGATAACCTTGCAGATCTTTTCCACCTTTCGCCTGATTTGATAAGAATGAAGGAGCAAACCATAAAACTCTCACTAAAACTACGAAAGTGTAAAAGCAAAGATCAGCACTGCTCTAGGGTAGGTATTTCTTAGTATTGGGAACAGTGAGACACAGTGTCATAGGCTTAACTCTTTAAACCACATCGGACACTGGGAGTGTCCAGTACTTGTGACAACATTTTCGTTTTACTTAGTGCTAGTTTTTGCTTGTTTTTCGGAACTATCCCCAAACCAAGTCATTTAGTAATGACTAAACATTTGTTTCCGCCATTTAGAAGTTGGAGGCAAGCTTTTGGGGTTATAAATGAGACATAGTGCACCAGGTTTAGGTGACAGCAGAAAACACTCTGGGAAACGGTGGAAAAAATCCAGGGTTTAAAGAGTTAACACCCTTTGCAATCAGAGATACACGGCTCCCTCCGAGACCAAACATTGACAGCACACTCTATGGAACATTACAGCAACTGCAGCAAACCTGCACATATAACTACACATCATTGGGCAGGGGAGTGAAAGCCATGCTGTTGCAGTATCGACAACAACAACAACAACAACAACAACAACAACAACAACAACAACAACAACAACAAAAACAACAGCAACATATTCTATGATTTTACTGCAAGCTTCACGTTGACCTCAAAATTTAAATACTGTTAAAACAGTAGCAATTCCCCACCCCCACCCTCCAATCTCCCTTGGGCACCTGTAATTAAAGATTAATTTACCAACTGCTATGACTTTCTATCAAGATTCCTGTTGACCTCTAGGTTTAGATACGATAAAAGCAGTAGCAATCTGCCCCCACCCCCTCTCCCCACCCCATCCTAAGTTTTCCTAATCGGATAATGACTATACTGCCGTAAGATCACAATACGCCTTTCTTTCATTTTTGGCCCCAATTTTTTATTTGTTAAATCGAACGTCCATTCACCCTACTTGAGTGAAAAAAGGAAAGGAAGTGAAACTGTGACTAGCTTTTGAATGAATTAGAATTCAAATTTCGGAAGAATGTCTTTTTTAAAATTATGCCAAAGATACTTTTTATTTAATAACTGCTGTTAATAAAGAAATGCGTTTTGCCAGCTTACGTCAGTATTCTTCCATTGGTGATAACTTACGTAATACGTGTTGTTCTTTACTTCCTTCTCACTTAAATTTACTTTCATCATGGGCACTCGGCTTATACCAAGTGACAAAGTAAGTACTCAGTTCAACAACCAAAGAGTGATCTGATGTTATATATATATAAATTGAATTGTTCTTGTTGTTCTTATGATTATATCACTGCTTTTAGTTTTTGCTTCTTATATAAGTCAGTCCACAGTCTCTTTAAGTCTTAAATTAGATTGTAATTTTTGTTGTTCAGGGATATTATATATTTAATTTACAAGCTTGAATCACATGTCTAGGTGGTGTGT